GGGGCGTTGCGAGCGGCCAGACGCCGTGTGTGTGTGTGTGTGTCTAGGAAGCCGCATATTGCACAGGTGCGCTGGACGGATCAATGTTTCAAGCAGCCCGAGGATGGAGAGGCATATGGTAGGTAAGTGGTACCTCTAGCGTACCAAACCAGGGTCTCGAAGCACCAAAAGGGCCGGCCATGGAACCTTTGGCCAGCACCCATGTGGTAGCGCGCACTCGGCAGCAAGAACCCAGCCCACGTCTTCGCCTGTTGCTCCGCCAAAGAAAAGTTGCTGCCGTTATTGCCTCAGCGCTAAACCGTGCCTCGTGCTGCTAACGCATGCCCTGCGGACATGGCCGCTGGCCTTCCATCGCTGTCTACCCCAGGAATCGCGGTCCGTTCAATCTATCTGGCATCTCTGGTAGCCTCAATTTCACCCCTTAGGTTCGGTTCTTCGGTGCGTTGGTTGGCGCCTCCTTGGTAGGTGTAGGTACCACCTAGCCCGGCTTGAGCTCCAAGGAAGGAGCTCCATGTGCTTTCTCTCGACCCCACTTCAGCAACCTATCACTACCACACGTCACGCACATCTCAACCTTGACCCGGCCAGGCACCAGGCAGTCTTCCTCTGGCACCAGACACGGTTGAACAGGCTACCGGCGAGGTTGAAGCACGTGCCCTACTTTCTCATCACATTCTCGGCATCCATTCTCCTCACACTCGACACAGACCCAACGCAATCGACTGAACTAGCGGCGCCTTGTTGGGATTCGCTCGGCTCTCATCCTGGGTGGGCTTCTCGCCTTCTGGAGATAGAACGAAGCACCTAAGTCAGTAAGTGCAACGAGAAAAAAACCCCCGAAAAATCTTCTTCACGCCCGGGATCGGTCTCGGGCTCGTGTTTCTGTTGGCGACCGGGGGGAATTGCGTGAAGCAACGCGCTGCTCTCGGGATAGGCGTGGTGGTAGCCAGACACCTGGAGCAAGAGGAGCCAGGGTCTGGCCCGTCCTTCCTCAAGTATCCAGAGTTATCCCAGCCTAAGCGTCTGGAATTACCACACACGCCAACCAGACACACAAGCGCACAGCACACGCACACGCACGCCGACGGGGGGTGTGCCTCCTTGTGTCTGCCTGGGTTCTCCATCGACACGGCATGAAGAACCCACGCCCTCCCCCTTGTGCTCGTCGTGCTGCATGGGCCAGCGGCACACCCCCCTGTTAGCCCTCTTGTCCTCTTGCTCGTCCAGATTCCTGACTCGATTCTCTACCTTACCTAGCTCCTCCTCGCCCTTCTCCTCGTCTCTTCACGCCTCGAGCCGTTCGCTGAGGCGGTTGGCTGCTAGGAGTGGGAGCGGGCTGTGACCTCGGCCAACTTACCCCTGGCTGTCTTGTGGGCCATACTTGAAAGGGGTTTCTTCATTTTGCCTCCAGCTTGCATCACTATGGAAATACTACGCTGTTGGAGAGCCGCCTGACCACCTCGCTCCGCTGTTTCGCTTCCAGTCTCACATTCCCACGGCCATCTCTCTCTAAATAATATTCGACGGCATCTCGATCCCACCGCCCCTCGTCATCCGCGCCATTAACACACCCACCACCACTCGTGGCGGCACGCTCGCTTGTTAGTGCCACGCTAAAATATAATCAGCGGCTGCTGGGAGTCATTCTGCCTGTGGCCCAGCCGCCCCAAAAAAAAAGCACGTGTGGCAGGAAATTCAACTTTGTGAAAGCGCTTGTCGTCCCGGCGGTTCGAGACACAAACTTGTGCATCATCTCGGAATGCCATCCAGCGACAGCAGGCCATGGCCTTCCAGACGAGCGTCCTTCGCGATGGCGAATGGGTCACCCAGACCATCGACCTGCAGACCGTGCTGAAAGCCAACACGGCCGCCCAACCTGCCAGGCCGCGACCACAGAAGCATACCAAGTGTGGAATTATCACGAGGACCGTCGTCGAGAGTCCTGTGGCCCATCACATCTTGCCGTGTCGGCTCAGGTCTCTCCAGCACGCCGACGTTGCCTTTGTAGGGGTCAGTAATCCTCGTCTATTGCTCCTGTGTCTCCCGCCTTACCTCCTCTCCATTACGGATATCCTGCTGCTCTTTTGCTCTCTTCCTTATCGAATCTGTGCCTCCGACGCCAAATGGTAGCGGCAAACTCGGAACCGAGTCTTCAGACAGACCATAACCCCTGTCGTCTTGCATCATGCCCCAAACCACTTCCATTGCAGCTGGCCGTCCGCCTTTATCCCCTTCTGATCTGTTACACTCTGTCTGTTTCCTCTAGCCCATCCTGTTGGCGAAATCAATGCTCAGCCAGCAAGTTTCCTTATTGCCAACTGCTCTATGGGCTGCCGAAGAAAGCCTCATGTTGCAACACACCATTTTGTCTAACGAAAATTTACTCCATCTAGGATCGGTTTGTTCAAATCCGTGAACTTCGCAACGATGGCCAACTTCAGGACATCATCCACAAGAACGACTTTGGCGACCGTATCAGAAATGCCAAGGTCATTGGCTCTTTACCCGACAGTCTCATCCTGAACCGAGAAGACGTTCTCTCCACACATGGCGTCGAAGCCGGTGACGACGGAGACATAGATATGCTGCATACGGACAGCAGCATCCCGACGTCATCAAGAAGCTCGCCCGGACTGGCCCCGCAGATGCTGTTGGTGGTTCTTGAGTGCGGAGATTGCATCTTCATGGTTCTCCGGACCAGGAGTGACGGAAGACTCGAGTTTGTCACATCGCAAGTTGAGCTGCCGAATGTGCAGATGAGCTACCCTGGCTTCCACCTGGCCGTGGACCCGAGTTCGCGCTATGTGGCCGTCGGCTGCTCCGAGAGCCTCTTCATGGTCTACGAGCTCGAGTCCAGAGAAGTCCTGAACAGGCGGTACCGACGCAATGAGCCCCTCAACCCCGTCAAGAAACGCGGGCCACGGCCCGTGAACGGCTTGATCCATAAGATGGACTTCCTCTTCCCTCGTCGCGAGGATGACTATCATATCATACTGCTACTGATCATCGTGGCTCAAGGCATGTCGAAAATGGTTGTTTACGAGTGGGAGGCAGGCGATGACCTGGGTGCTGTCCTTGGCGAGGAAAAAAAGGGGCACCGGTTACCACAAGAGCACCAGATGCCTCTCCTACTCATACCTCTCATGGTGGGGACCGCATTTTTTGCCGTCTACCCCGAGAGTATCGCCGTCGGCAAGGACGTGCTGATTGGCCCGCCCTCCTTCGACACTTTCCAAGTTACCAGGATGCCACCTTCGAAATTCCATCACGGCCGCGGTAATCCGCTCTGGTCTACCTGGACACGGCCTTTCCGCCTGGCTCAGTTTAACAAGGACTGGCTCTACCTCGCGAGGGAGGATGGCGTAGTTGTTGTTTTAGATATCGACTCTGACAGCATACTAAACGCGAGCCAGGTTGTCAAGGAGTTCGAGTGCAACATTTCTACTGCCTTTTGTGCCCTGTTCGACCAGTTTGCCGACATCCTAATCATGGGTGGCGACTCCGGCCCTGGGGCAGTCTGGCAGGTGAGATGGACTCTATACACCGCCGGTCATCCGGTTCGTTCGCTTATAAATGGCTGGGACACTGACTGTCGGTGGTTATTTCACAGGTCCTGGCTCGGCAGGAATCCGTCAAGCTTGGTGTCATACCGAACTGGTCGCCCGCTGTCGACTTCTTGACAACTGACGAGTTCTCGAAGTGGAATCAAGGAACAAGTTCCCGTGGTAACCTGATGATCCCATGGGAAACTCAGACCAGGCATACATACACACCCCCCGACCGCATATTTGCGGCCTGTGGCAGGGGGGTTACGGGCACTATCACTGAATACAGACACGGCTACCAGGCTAATATAGGCCTGTACTTCGACTGCGAGCCAACCACGACGGCGGCATGGCTGCTCCCTATCGATGCATACTCTGTCAGCGCGGGCTATTACCTGCTCGCGTCTATGCCGGATCGGTCCACGATACTGCAGCTCCCCAGTGACCTATCCGAGGTTGACGAACCCCCTGCGGACCAGGTGGCGTTTGACCTTTCCTCACGAACTATTGCGGCGTCTCGAGCTTTGGAAGGCGCCATAGTGCAAGTCACAGAGAACTTCATCGTCTGCGTTTCTCCTGAGCACAGGTATGATCGATCCTACTCCTGTGGCAATAGTCCCGAGCGAAGCCAGGCTGCGAGGGGGTATGCGGAGAGAAAGAGCGGATGGGCTCTTCAGAGTTGCTGCTGACAGGAGTGACTTTGCCTCAGTGTTCGGACTTTGCATCGAGACCTGATCCGCAGTGATCAGACAGCAGTATCACACGCTGATATTCTTAATGAATTTGTGGTACTATCGACAGGGTCCTTCGCAAACTCGTCCATACATCTGCTACGAATCCTGCCCGATATGTCAATATCCGCCATCAGGTCTTTCCCAGTGGAGGGAGAGGTGACGTGCCTGTCTTTTGCCACCCTCAGCGGGCTCCGTCAGGTGTTTGCCGGGCTATGGAACGAAGGCGTCCCGAGTCTTGCCAAATTTTCTCTTGATGGTCTCGACTCAGGCCGGCTAGAGACGGTGCCTATCGAAATAGGTAGGATTCTCACTGGTGCTCGAGTTCCGTTCTGCAGAGCTAGTTGCTCACGTCACTTTTTCTCAACACAGATGCTTTAGATTCCCAGTCTCGACCTGTGGCAAATGAGGGCCAACCTGACAGCATGGGCAGCTCACTCGAGGCATTCACCAGCGTAGCCCCTTTGGACCTTGGACACAGCCATGTCATTGTCTTTGGCACGCGGAATGGAGAGGTCCTCACCATGTTCCTAAACGATCCTGAGCTGCCTCCTTTGATCAAGATGGAGAAGTTTGGTCTGACGCCCGCCACTGTGTGTGCGGCAAACTTTAATGAGCAAGAGTGTGCCCTTGTCTGCTGCGACTCGGCTCTTTTCATATTCACCAACTTCGACGCGGCCAAGACCAAATCATTCAAGGACAAATCCAGGGTCTGGCCTGTTCATGCTCTGGATGCAAGCCAGCCCACGCCGCCGATACACTCTGTCAAAGTCCTAGAGAGTCACATCACTGAGGACCGGACCCACCTGCCGATTCTAATGGCTGCCGGACCCCATATTCTCATGGCCTCTGTGCTGCCGAGGCCGCGGCCGGTACCGTGGTGCATACCCCTTTTTGGGACGCCGCTCAAGGTCATCCACTCTCATCAACTCGAGTGCCTCGTTGTGGCAGTCGGCATCAAGGATCGGACCGTGCTGAAGTTCCTCGACGTTGACACGGGTGAAGAAGTATCCACTCCCATAAACAGACAGGGCGAGCAGGTCGAAGCAATCCAGGGCCTTGACCGAATCGGCGACACAATCCTCGGACTCTCCGAGTGGATCTACCAACGAGAAGGCCACACGTGGGCATTCGTGCTTGTGTCCACCGGGCAGGGTGAACTGCTAGTCATCTCGACGGAAAAGTTGCCGCCGCCAGCGAACGGCTCGCCGGCCCGGGTAAGGTACCGGACGCAGTATAGAAAGAGGGTGTCGCAGCCGATCCACTCTGTCATTGGCCATGCAGATGGCCTCATTTACTGCGTTGGATCCACCATCAAGTGGGACATTCTTGATCTTGCTGAGAAGAAACTGAGGCCATGGAGATCGTTTGACATGAGCACGCCTGTGACCACGATGCGCGTGGTCAACGAGAGGATAGTGGCCTTGACAAGTCAAGACTCGATCAGCATCATCAACCCTGGGGCGAACTCGACGCACGGTGAGATGATGTTGGAGCATGCCGACCCTAAGTCACGGCCAGCAATGCACATGATTGAGCTGTCTGGGGAGAAAGACGGGAGTGGCTCCTCCATCATGCTCTTGTGTGACAGGGCCAGCGGAGTGGCAGGACTCTGGGTCCCATGGCAGCAGCCTGGGCGGAACTGCGAGGTTGTGTTTGAGGCGGACCTCCCGGCCTCCGTGAGGAGGTTCCGGCGTGGGAGGACGCGGCCGGCATGGCTACGAGCGGACCGCGCGCCGCGCTACGGAGCGCTGCCTAGCACCGTCGACGGCGCCGAGATTATCGGCCTTTGTCTGGATGGCTCTTTGCAGCACTTCACGCTGATAAACATGGAGGCGTGGGCTGTCCTCCGGCTGGTGCAGAACCTGGCGCTCCAGTCGCCGACGCTCTGTCCATTCACGTATGATATGGGGGGCGGCGATGATGGTAACAACGCCCTCCTTGACACAAGACAGGCCGCCGGCTCGGGTGGCTACGAGATGCACATTGACGGGGATTTGATGCAGCTTTGCCTGGAGCGGAGGGCTCTGGCAGAGCTCTTTGCGAAGCAGCTGGACATGGACAAACTGGGCGAGCTTCTCAGCGCTCTCGATGACGGCGCGCTGACTGAAGGTATCACGCGTGGTAGCTTTGGATCCGGCGACAAGTACTTGGAAGTCGTATACGATATCATGCAGTACTACTTGTCTCCGATCATGTAAACAAAAAGGGGTTAGTTGGTTGTAGCGAGGCACAACCTGGAGAGGAAAAAACTACCTAGACTTGGGAGCGACGAACCACGGGGCTTGGGGAGTCATAGACGTTACACAAAACTACCAATAGACGGAGTGGAACACGAACAGAGTTGGTTAAGCTGACCACTGCAAAATGACCGAGATCATGCGCAAATATCGTGACTTCACGATCATTTACATGCTGGCAGTTTTTTATATTTCTTGCACTCGTAACGGTTGGTGTAACTCGACCTGGGATCCAATTGCATATCAGAAAGGGGGTCTGCCACAGGGTGACGTTGCCATGTGGCGTCGAGGGTGCCCGAGCTGTGGCGACGTGTGGGGCAGCATGATTAATTGATGGGTCCAACCGAGCCGAAGGGAAGAAGGCTTGGGAACCGAACCGTTTCTTGCCCCTTCAATCCGAGGAGCAGGACCGGGCATGCCATTCTCGATTGCCCGAGGCGACAGGACAGGCGACGACTGAAAATATTTTGATAGCGGGAGGGAAGAGCCTTCTGCTCCGTGTTCCCATTGTCTGCAGAGCAGGCGAGCCCCAAGGTGAGTGGCGCATGCCAACCAAGCAAATCCATTAAATACCCGTATGGGAACAAAAACCGAATTTCGTGGGATTTTGGTGCCCTCGCTGCGTCATCTGCTGCCACTCTCCATCCTGACCCCACTGCCACCACAATTGGTGCCGGCGTTAGGCTTCCTTTGAGAGGAACGTCAGCGGACGCATGCGCTGCGACATGGGTTTCTGTCTTTTCTGCCGTGTTTTACCCTCGCATGTACACTGAGGAGCCAAAAAGCGGGAGAGAGAAAGAGAGGCCAAAAAAGGACGTGAACAGATCGGCCTGAGTCCTGTCTAATTCCGCCAATCGACAATAACAGGTGGACCGACGCCTCGACGGAAGACCCATCTAATCCTCGTTGACAGCCCCGCGCTCGTCCGTCGGCGTCCTCTGGACTCGCAACACAGCAGCCCGGCATTATAATCAACGGCGAGTCCGGCAAAATGGCTCCCAAAAAGAAGGGAAACAAGAAGGGCGACGATGATTGGGAGGCCGAACTGGGCGAGCAGGCCGCGCCCACCAACGGGGCCGCCGCAGACGCCCCTGCCGCCGATGCGCCCGCCGAGGAGGAGGAGGAGGAGGCGGGCGGCGGCGGCCTGATGTCCCTGATGCGCAAGAACAAGGAGAAGCGCAAGAAAAAGGGCTTGACCGAGGACTTTGTTCAGGGAGAGGACCCCGCCGCCCCCGCCGAGGCCAACGCCGAGGACGAGTTTGCCCTGCCTGAGAAGAAGGGCAAGGGCAAGGCCGCGGCCAAAGCTGCTGCCAATGATGATGCGGCCGAGGAGGACACCGGAAGGGTGAAGACAAAGGCCGAGAAGGAGAGGGAAAAGAAGGAGCGTGAAAAGCAGCGTAAAAAGGAGCAGGTATGTTTGGTTCTGCGTGTCTCGATCACTCTGCGGTCTCCCCTAGCTCTGTTCATAAGACACCGGCACTCATGTGGGTGTTGGCATCACTCAAACAAAACTAATTGCTCCGTTACGATGCTTTCCCTCCCATGACAGGCCGCAAAGAAGAAGACCACCGGGCCTACCAAGGAGGAGCCTGAGAAACCCGCCGCGGCAGCCAAGGAACAGGAAGCACCCGCCGCCGCCGCCGCCGCTACCGCCGCCCCTGCTGCCGGTGGCAAAAAGAAGAAGGTCCCCGCTCACCTGGCGGCGATTCAAAGGCAGCAAGAGGAGCTGAGGAGGCAGCAGGAAGAGGACGCGAGACTCGAGGCGGAGGAGAAGGCTCGGATCGAGGAGGAGGAGCGCAAAGCCGAGGAGGAGGCCAGGCGCAAGGAGGAGCTGAAGGCACTCAAGAAGCAGAAGGAGAAGGAGAAGCAAGAGGAGCTCAAGAAGGCAGGCAAGTTCCTCACCAAGGCTCAGAAGGAGGCGAAGGCACACAGGGAGGCGAAGCTGCAGCAGATGATTGCTGCCGGCGTCAAGATCGGTGCTCTTGACGAGGACAAGACGGAGGGTAGGGAGAAGAAGAAGTCCGAGGCCAAGAAGCGCGGCGGCCGCAAGAACGACAAGGTAAGTTTCCGTCAGGCCTGAATTTGCTGTCCTTAAGTCTCTGGAAAGCCTACCAGGATGAATATCTTAACACTAAATTCCCTTTCTCACAGTTGGACGAGGAAAAGGCACTCGCCGAGGCCGCTGAGCGTGCAAGGCTACAAGCTGAAGCTGCGGCCAAGGAAGCCGAGGAGAAGGCCAGGCTTGCCAAGGAGCAGGCGGAAAAGGAGGCGGCCGAGAGGAAGGCGGCCGGAAAGGCCGAAAGCGACGTTGACGAGGACTGGGAGGTGGCGGCGGTAGAATCCGACGATGACGTCAAGGAGGACTGGGACGCGGACTCTGATGAGGAGGCGGCCAAGAAGGAGGCGAAGAAGGCTGAGGCTAAGGCGGCGGCAGAAGCAGCAGCTGCTGCTGAGGAGGCCGGGTCGGAAGCTGACTCTGAGGAAGACTCGGAAGACGAATCGGACTCGGAGGACGAGGCCATGACGGCCGAGGCGCAGCGCAAGAGGGAGGCAGCAGAGAGGAGGGAGAAGGCACACCAGGCAGCTCTGGCGGCGCGGTCCAAGGACAACCTGCGGTCGCCCATCTGCTGTATCCTGGGCCACGTCGACACGGGCAAGACCAAGCTGCTGGACAAGATCCGGCAGACCAACGTGCAGGAGGGCGAGGCGGGCGGCATCACGCAGCAGATCGGCGCGACGTACTTCCCCGCCGATGCGATCCGCACCAAGACGGCCGTGGTCAACAAGGACGGCTCGTTTGAGCTCAAGGTGCCGGGTCTGCTGATCATCGACACACCGGGCCACGAGTCCTTCTCGAACCTGCGGTCGCGCGGCTCGTCGCTGTGCAACATCGCCATCCTGGTCGTTGACATCATGCACGGGCTGGAGCCGCAGACGCTCGAGTCGATGCGCATGCTGCGCGACCGCAAGACGCCCTTCATCGTTGCCCTCAACAAGATCGACCGTCTGTTCGGCTGGAAGAAGATCGACAACAACGGCTTCCAGGACTCGCTGGCCCTGCAGCCCAAGGCGGTCCAGAACGAGTTCCGCAACCGGCTCGACCAGACCAAGCTGGCCTTTGCCGAGCAGGGCTTCAACGCCGAGCTCTTCTACGAGAACAAGTCCATGGCCCGCAACGTCTCGCTCATCCCGACCTCGGCCCACACGGGCGAGGGTGTCCCGGACATGCTCAAGCTCATCTCCCAGCTCACGCAGGAGCGCATGGTGGGCTCGCTGATGTATCTGTCCGAGGTCCAGGCCACCGTGCTCGAGGTCAAGGCCATCGAGGGCTTCGGCATGACCATCGACGTGATTCTGTCCAACGGTATCCTGCGTGAGGGCGACCGCATCGTGCTCTGCGGTACCGAGGGTGTCATCAAGACCAACATCCGCGCTCTGCTAACCCCTGCCCCGCTCAGGGAACTGCGTCTCAAGTCGGCCTACGTGCACAACAAGGAGGTCAAGGCGGCACTAGGTGTCAAGATCAGCGCCCCCGGTCTCGAAGGCGCCATTGCCGGCTCCCGCCTGCTCGTCGTCGGGCCCGATGACGACGAGTCGGATCTGGAGGAGGAGGTCGAGGGCGACCTGGCCACCCTCTTCAGCCGCGTCACAAAGACGGGCCGTGGCGTCAGCGTGCAGGCCTCGACCCTGGGTTCGCTCGAGGCGCTGCTGGACTTCCTAAAAGACTGCAAGATCCCCGTGGCCAACGTCGGTATCGGCCCGGTCTACAAGCGCGATGTGATGCAGTGCGGCGTCATGCTCGAGAAGGCGCCCGACCATGCCGTCATGCTGTGCTTCGACGTCAAGGTGGACAAGGAGGCGGCCGCCTACGCCGAGGCCGAGGGCATCAAGATCTTCACGGCCGACATCATCTACCACCTCTTCGACGCCTTCACCAAGCACCAGGCCGAGCAGCTCGAGAAGAAGCGGGAGGAGGCCAAGCTGCTCGCCGTCTTCCCCTGCGTGCTCAACACTGTTCAGATGTTCCACAACACGTCGCCCATTGTTATTGGCATCGACGTCGTCGAGGGCCAGCTCAAGCTCAACACGCCTATCGCGGCCGTCAAGAACAACCCCGTCACGGGAGTCAAGGAGATCATTAAGCTGGGAAGAGTGTGAGTATTTTCTTTCTTCGTACTTGTCGAAATGCTCTTCCACCTGGGGCAAGACAGCAAGGCTGGACAATAGTGGTACCGGTGCTAATGACCAATCAACCCCGCCCACGCAGCACATCGATCGAGCGTGATCATAAGGCCCTCACGGTCTGCAAAAAGGGCCAGCCATCAGTGGCGATCAAAATCGAGATGGGCAGCCACCAGCCCATGTACGGGCGTCAGCTTGAGGTGCAGGACGTGCTCTTCAGCCACATCTCTCGCGAAAGCATCGACTGCCTCAAGGAGTTCTACCGCAGCGAGGTCACGACGGACGAGTGGCTTTTGATCAAGAAGCTGAAGCCAACGTTCGATATCCCGTAAGCGGGTTCCGTTCATGTCGGCCACGCAGGGTGGTTGGGTGGGCTTGGGAGGAGCGCGAGACTGTGAAGCCAAGAGGGGCGCGTGTCCCCAGTAGCGTTCGTCGGGTGGGGGGATACATTTAGACCAAAAGGGAAAAAAAAATTGCTGCGTTGGGGCATTCAGAGATGCTTTTGTTCTGCCTCGACTACTGTCGCTCCGACTTTTGTCGCCTTTGCTCGATCCGACGGGTTCCGGTGGGATTGGGTTGTTCAGTGCTATTCTCGGCCCCTCCAAGCAGCGGGTACCTAGGCTAGGTTTTGATAAACAAAAAGCGTATCTCTTTTACTCTCGTCAGCCTGATCACTACTCTACATTTTAAAAGATACCAGTCGCGTGTTGACGAGACTCGTGTATCGCTCAGCATAGGAAGCCTTTGCGTTTTTCTGGCATGATGGAGGGACTGTATAAAGACAGAATGTCCAATCTAGACCAACAAGAAAGGCCAACCCAAAGCACATTATCAACGCACAAAGCTCGAGACATAGGTACACACGGCACAGGATATTGAAAACAAACAATTCCCATTCTAACGTGGTGAAATGTAATACCAAACATGCGGTCTAATCTGGCCCACCTCCCTCTTCCTTCTCTTTGGAATAAACTTGATGGTGAGTAAAAGTGTATGTTGTCGTTGTGGTGTTGTGTGCGTGGCGGACGACGTGCGTGATAACTCCAAAGTGTGGTACTGAAAGGGCAAAACACGAGATGCAGGCCGACAGGCTGTGCCGCCCCCTCCCCCTCAAGTCCCTTCCTTCTTTATACGATGGCTGGCATAACTCATTGCAGTGGCCCGCGGCCTTTCCGTTTTCCGATAAAACCCCATCCCCCCAATCTCCTTTGCGCCGCCCCGTCCCGTGTGTTCATCGTCCCAGTACTCAGCTGCCCGCAGGCAACCATGCCTCAGCGCTAGGTTAGCAGAGTGTCCGACTTTCTACGACTCGTTCGCCTTGGCGTCGGCGTCGGGCATCTCCTCGTCCTTTACCCCATCGGCTGCCGGGTCCTGGCTGGCCTTGGCATCGGCTGCCTGCTTGGACTCCTCCTCGGCGGCCCTCTTGGCGGTGGCCTCGGCATCTAGCCTGGCTTGCAGTGCCTGCCTCTCAGACTCGACCTTGTCGAAGTGGCGCTGCACAATGGGGCCTGCCATGGCCCTAATCTCATCCATCTTCTGGATGTAGACGGCCTTGGTGGCGTCGTCGCCCTCGTCGTACAACCAATCCTGTGGGAAATTCCAGAGTTAGCAAGATGATTTAATCGCTGTGGCGTCGTGACCAATGTCCCACTCACCTCAGTCGCCGTCAACTTGGCGCGGAGCTTGTCCTTCTCGTCGTCACTGGCGAACTCGGCATATTGGTCGTCAAGCTTGTTCCGGACGTCGTAGATGTACGTCTCGAGCTCGTTCTTCTTCTCCTCGGTGTCGGCCACCAGCTTGTCCTCGGCCGCCATGCTGGCCTCCTTCTCCAGCAGGGAATCCTTGGCGCTGGTTTCCAGTGACTGCGTCGCCGCGACGATGGGCAGCTCGCCCTTCCTCACCTGCTTCTTAACCTTGCGAGTCTTGGGCTTCGAGTCGTCCTTCGCACCGTCCGTGTCCATGGCCTTGCGTTCGGGCACCATCTCAGTTAGCTTTTTCCTCGAGTGCACGGGAAGGTCGGCGCCGGGAGACGACGAGTTACGGCTGCGGCGTCGTTTGAGCGGAAGCTCCGTCTCGGCCTGGCCCTCTCCGGCGCTTCCTGCCGGGGGCATGGGGGGATAAACGCCGGCGTCGTAGCCTGTGCCGAGGGGCATGTTTTGAACGGTAAAAATACTCACGTCGCCATCCTTCTTATCGCCCTCCTCGACGACCTCCTCGACATCCTGGTCCTCCACGTAGTAGCCGCTCTCGACGTTGAGGATGCCGTGGATGTTGACACGGGCCTTGAGCTTGCAGATCATAAAGTCGTCGTGGCCGCCGTTCGCCTTGACGCCCTTGACCGAGAAGCGCCCGATCCACGGGTTTATCGTGGCAGGCAGGTCCTCGGGCTTGGCGTACCTGGCCTCGAGATCAAACGGCTGTTTTCGGTAGAAGGTAAGGATCTTGGTGGAGGGCATCAAGTTGCCCTTGTTGAAGACGACGAGGCTCGTGTCCTCGTCGGGAATGTCGGGGGCCTTCTCCCAGGCGAACTCGATCGGGTACGAGATGACGTCCTGGACGGCAAAGTCGCGGACCTTGAAGATGGGGGACAGGATGGCGCAGCTGAAGGCGCAACCCCTGGCGATGGCCTCATCCTGGTTCAGGGTGAAGGAGAGAGGCTTGCCGAAGTAGGCCTGAACGCGCTCCTTGATGGCGGGGACACGGGCGCCGCCTCCGACGAGCTCGACAACGTCAATGTCGTCCTTGGTCAGCTTGGCCTCGGCAAGGGCCTGCTCCAGCACCACCTCGACGCGAGACAGGATAGGCTCAACCATGGTTTCGAACTCGGCACGGGTGATCATGGCCGAAACATCGACGTCGTTCATCAGCGACTCGATGTTGATGGGCGCTTGCTGGTTGGCGGACAGAATCTTCTTGACCTTCTCTGCAGCGGCGTAAACGCGCGAGGTGGCGCGGGGGTTGGAGTAGATGTCAATCTTGTACTTGCCGAGGAACTCCTTGTGCAGGTGGTCGACAAGGGCCTTGTCAAAGTTCCTCCCGCCGAAATGGCGGTCGAAGGCGGTGGACTTGACAGCCAGCTCGCCCTTCTTGAAGTCGACAATGGAAACGGTGTAGTCGCTGTGGCCGACGTCGACAAAGGCCACGCGGCGCGGCGTCTCCTCGGCCGCGGGGAGGTCTAGCTTGGTAATGCCGTAGCCAAGGGCGGCGGCGGTGGTGTCGTTGATGAGACGCAGCAGCTTCAGACCGGCGATCTCGGCGGCATCGAGCAGGGAGCGGCGCTGGACGTCGGTGAACCAAGGAGGAACGCTCATGACGAGATCGGAGACGGCCAGCTTGGTCTCGTTGGCCGTCGTCTGCTTGATCTTGCCAAGGAACATGGCGATCAGCTGCGTGGCAGTGAACTTCTCCTTCTTGCCCAGGTATGTGACCTCGGCGCCGACCTGGCCGTTGACGTCGACCAAGGGCGCCGAGATGAACTGCTGCTCGATCTGGACATCTGGATGGTTGATAGAGCGGCCGGCGAGGCGCTTCAACGAGCCGACAGTGTTCTTGAGGTTGGATATCTCCTGTGTCTTGGCGGCCTCTCCCAGATACCGTGACTTGGGGCCGAATCCGACGAGTGATCTAAATAAATGAGACAGGCGACAGTCAGCATGATGGTTCTCAAGTAGCGTGAGCAGCATCAGGGACTCAGCCGCCGGAGAAGGCGGCCTGGGCCAAGTGCTGCGGGCATGACGTAGGGGGCGGGAGGGTGAGATGGCAACATACGGTGTGGCGCGGTTGGAAACCTCGTTGGTGATCTGTACGTGACGAAGCCCAGATGGTCAGCACTCTGCAGTTGTCCCAGATAGGCGAGTTTGTTATGCGCAGTCCTCCGCGTCGAGGTGGGTGCCGGCGCCGGCCGGCGGCGGATGTGGAGGGGTGCACGAGGGCCGAGCACGAGCTGGCAGGATCGAGCGAGGGCAGCGTCGCCGGGGCGCGGGCAGGGCGGCAGAAGGAACACTTACCACATCGACACCCCGATTCCGCGCAACCGCAATGACGGTATTAAGGGAACCGAAGTCAACTCCTGTTGGCTTGTGGTTAGCGTCTGGCCTCGGCCGACACGACAGCGGATCGGGGGCCTCTCGCAGACTTACCAACTACGGACATGGTGGCTGTATCTTTGCGCTCCTGTGTGGGCGTAGACAAATACCCTGGTTAGTGATTGCCTATCGCGCCGATATGTCGTATTCGAGGCAAAGCGACGGGGCTCGTGGTGGTTTTGTCGTGTTTGTTGTCTGGTCGGTAAGGCGAGAAGTGATAACGAGGAGATTTGCTCACAGGCACAAGTCTGAGGGTATGTATTTTTTTTCTTGGGTTCTTTGCTTCCTTGCCTGCTGGGTTGGCTTGTCAACACAACAACGAAAGCCTGCCCAACGTCAACTGCGTCCAGTCAGCAATGGGCGGGAAGTTGCTTGGTCAAGGGTATCTCTGGTTGGATTTTCGACAGGGCGTCGTTTTGCGACGAGGATTGTACTGGGAACCAAGTAAAGGAACAAGAAAAAAAACACAAAGGGAAAAAAAACCAACTGCCTACCTTTGGGAGCGACAATATGGAGCGCCGGCGAGGGAAAGGGTGGGAAAATATGTTATGGCCCAAAGGATACACGACGTGTGTGCGCCCAGTTACCAGAAGCTGCTTTTGCCCCTCATTCGTTCGCCCAAGTGAAAAAAAAGTTGCCAGGACGGCGGGGGAGGGCGTTGCTGGGACGCGCTAGACCCACCCCGGGGGCGCGACTGGATTCGAGCGCCCTCTGGAAGCTGGCAGAAGTTTCGAGATGGTGCTGGGCCATACTGTGCACACCCAACCTTGCACGCCGGGCACCTCGACGGCCATGGCGACCATGGGTACCTGACGGATGGGAATAGTTGATAGTTGCTTCACGTGAGGCTCGCTTGGTCTCATGTCAACAACACCTAACCAGATGCCCAAAATGCCGCCAAAGCTGCCCTACGCACAACCAGCAGGTACCAGCTGCGGTGCCTTCTAGGTGTACTGCTCACCATTGTCTCTACAATTCCCATCGAGGACGAGGGGCACAAGTCCGGCACGGTCGTACAGTCTGGCAGTCACGAATCATCGAATGCGCTCGCCCTACCTTCTTAGGGACAACTAGCGGGCCTCGATCCTAGCCTGCTGCCTGCCTCGCTCGCCCTGTCATTGCCCAGCCGTCTTTCGGCGACATAACAAAGCAAACCCGGGCAGTGAGGCATCATCAACGAGGACTGGCTTACCTGTTCGCGATCCTCTTAGTCGGGTTTCGGTACTTTCATTGTCGAGGGTTTGTGTGGAGCCAGCGTGAGCAGATCAGGCTCAGTACATGGACGACGGCCTTGGAATGTCCCCGTTACTGCCCGTGACTTCACACGGCGCCCAAAAAGAAAAAAAGAAACGTAAGCCAAAAGGGGCAAGCAAGGGAAGCCGCCCGACATCCCGAGATATCTCGCCCTCTTTCCACGGCTGTCCGCTCATGTCACCATCGGGCTGGCTGTGTGGGGCTCGAAAACGCCACACACCCCCCGCCGGGGGCGTGTCTCGTCGCCCCTTCACCGCCCAACTGGGCCATTTAGATTTGGCAGAGAACGCGGTTTGGTTTGCTGCTTGCTCGTTGCCCCCACCGAGCATTTCCTGAAAAGTGTGAATGCGTTTGCCAAACCGACCACCACCTGCGAGCTTGGCAGCGTTCCAACACTGACGATATCAGGTAAATATTACCTTATTGCCGACTGTTCCTGCCCTGCGCCCAGCCGATGGGCTGCTTTCCCACCACGCTGGCCGGCGAGGGATTTCACTTTTGGCATTTCGCTTCCATTCTATGGGGCACGGCACTTGCTTGCATGGTCGCTTGCAACGCAGCGTGTCCTTGTCTAGTGGCGCCGCGAGCCCATTTGTTTTCTTCGTCTTTGTCATGTATTCACCGTGCTCTAACTAAATATCCACAGGAGCCCCGATCGCCAACTTGCCCGTCCGTCCATGATCCAAGGGGCTCCAAGTACTGTACAAATTCTGTAGCGGGCCAAAGTCCGACCAACTTTTGCTATACCTGCGTTCGTCATAAGTGGCGGCTCCAGGTGCGCTGTTGTCATCCAAAATGAAACAGCGGCAAGCTGAAAAAGAAGCAAGATAAAATCAGGAAAAGATCAGATACGAAACGTTGAACAAAGCGTTATCTACCTCCTGAAAGTGAAAGAAAGAAATGCCAAGAGAGGAAGGAAACAATGCGAGAACAAGCTCATTATAGAAATCGTGCCACTACGGAACAGCCCGGTGCTATCGTCGGCTGCCGTGGGTGCCTCTGGAGGGGTGTCGGCTAGGGGGCCCCGAGGGCGGCTGGATGTTTTGGTGAGGCTGCGATCCGCCCATCTCGAGCTCGACGTCGTCGATGGTCGAGGTCCGCAGGAAGCTCGCCCGCCCGAGCGGACTCCTGCCCGTCCGCAACGGGGCAGAAGAAGAAGCCGACCCGCCGCCACCGCCGCCTGCGGCAGCCGTCGGTGGCTGGAGCGACGACGACCCCCCTTGCGTTCCGGTGGGTGACTGCATGCCGCCGCCGAGCGACGGGTTTTCGGTGCTCATGCTCGCCTGCTTGTTCACGAGGTTCAGCGCCGCCGGCACCGCCGAGGCCTGCGATTCCGGGTGATCCATGTAGCCCGACTTGTGCAGGTCCGTCTCCGGGAGGTCGTAGACCTGGCCGGGCGGCGGGATCCCCGGGCTCCGCTGCCCGGCGAGGAACTGGTTGTACTGGCTGGCCTGTGCCATCTCGTACTTGCGCCGGTCCTCGTCTCCCATGATGCTCTCTACCCTCCGGGGTACGTAGATGGAGTTGGCCGCCGTCTGCGCCGACAGGAAGCTGTCGAACGAGTCTCGAGGGTGCAGCGGTATCCGGCCGCGGCTGCCGTAGTCGACCGTGAGGAAGGACTCGTTCCCTCCCTGATGGTAATAGCCATTGGCCCCCATCTCGGGCGCGAAGAACTGGCCCTCGATCTTGGACGGTGGCTGCAGAAAGGGACCGGGGCCCGGCGCTTTGTGCGCCTTGCTCATCTTTCTCTGTACCTGCGCTGCCGGAATGAAGGTCTCGGGGACAATATTGAGGTCGTCGCCCGCTTCTTCGGCTTGCTCGATGGCCTCTTGGGCCGTCGTTGTTACGTCTGCCGATGCCGCATCTGCTCTCGGCCCGCCCCAGGTCCGCTGGCCGGCCGTGAAGATGCCATACACCATGTAGTACCAGTTGAAGAAAGGGTTGAGGACAAACATCATGGGGTAGAGCCAGATCTTGAACCTCCTCAGCTTGGCGCCAAAGTAGATCATCATCAGCCAGTTCAGGCCCAGCGAGATGGCGATGAATCCGACGGGCAGGTCCGATACCTTCTTGCTCGTCGTGACGATGGCCAGAACCATGATGAAGAAGAGCAGCGCCGTCGTGCGAATCGTGTTTTGCATGAACCTGATGAGGATCAGCAGGGGGTATCGCTTCCAGAGGCGCCAGTCCGTGAGCATGCACACTTCGTTGGTGATAAACCCCAGGAACCAGCGGCGGCGTTGCTTGACCAGCGACTTGTAAGTCTGCACGGCTTCCGTCTTGCAAAAGGCCGACGTGCACATCTGGATCTGGTGTCGCTTCTTGGCGCCGATCATGAAGAGATGGGTCAGCCAGCGGTCCTCGCCCAGATGGCACTTGGCAAAGTCGAAGAGGTCCTCGCACTGCTCCGCCTTGTCGGCAAAGTAGTACTTGGCCATCCTCCTGAAGGCCGAGAATCGGAGCATGGTCAGGGCCCCGGGGAGACAGGTCACGGCGCCGCAGCCAGACTCGACAGTCCGCTCGAAGAGCTGACCGTGGATATACTCGAGGTCCTGCAGGACGGTAATGAGACTGTGTTTCTTGGTGGTCGATGTGATGACGCCCGTCATGGCAAGCATGTCCCTCGCGTTTCCGGGGCTGAGCTCCATGTCGTAGACGAAATTCTGGAGACACACGCGATCCAGGATACAGTCCGAGTCGATGAAGAGGATAAAGAGGTTGTCGTTCCTCTCTAGATACTCCTTGTAGACCTTGTCAATGAGCTTGAACGTGGCCTTTTGGCAGTGGCGCTTTCCGCCGTGGGGGAAGCGCGAGACAGTGATGCGGCCGGCCTTGTAGCTGACGTCAATGCTTCGTGGGTACGTGTCGAGCGTCAGGGGCACGCCGAGGCTCTCAATAGTGTTGAGATACAATTCGTCCTCCTGGTCGCCGTCGAACGAGAGGAAGACGTGAATGCACGATGGCGGGTAGTCGCAGTCGACGACAGAGTTGATAGCCGTGATCAGGACATCGGGATCCTCCTTGTAAACGGGCATGACGATGACGACCTTGGGAGCTGAGACTTCGTCCAGAACCTGCTTCACACGCTTCTGTCTTCCCAGCTGGTTCGTGACGAAATGGTAAACACAAAACAACCAGGGGATCGTCAGAAGCCCAGCAAAAGCCCAGAAGGCGAACCACTGCAGGACCACAACCATGTCCTTGGGCCAGAGGGCCACCACCTGGCTCGGGAGCGGCAGGGTCACGACCATGATGGGCAGGAAGATGCATCTGGCAGGCGCGGATAAGGCGAGCGTTAGCAGTGCGGCTATCCCTGTTGACAAACGAGCCAGAGAGCGGCGACTGTGCTTACCGGAAGCCGGTGAAGAGTATGGCAACAACGACCGCGAGGAGCCGAATGGTCCAGTGCTCAGCCTTTATAAAGACCTTGACAAGGCAGTACATGAAGGCGGCGATCCACAGGAACCACTCCAGCAGCGCCATTAGCATGACGATGCCCACGATGATCGTGTACACGACCTGTACAGGGGAACAATCAAGTTAGCGGCATGCTCCCAGTGTATCGGCACATCGGACAGCTTCTGGCAAGAGCGCGAAAACCCACATCGTGCACCGGCCAGTGATCGAAAACCCCCATCTTGGCTGGTGTTTGCCGAGATAAACTGCGGCTGGGATTGCAAGCGGCAAAGGGCAAGCAAGAGCGAAAGGGGAAGCTGGATGTATGCCTCAAAAGTCGTGTGCGAGGGCGCCGAGATAACTTAAATGGCAGATCTGGCCAAGCACTCTAGGGGAGCGATCCGTGGTGCCGGCGCAGCCGGAAGGGCTTTGTGGCCCACGAGGCGGATGGGGCAGACGGGTGTTTGCATCAAGTGGGAGCGCGCACGAGCTTCAGGCGACGTCCGACAGGCGGTGCACGGCAGCGGCACCCCCAAGCCACCCGTATAAACCCTCGGCAGGAAGCAATATTCGTGCGTGAAACGTGTGAGGGTGTGGGCTGCAGGAGAAGAGCGAAGCAATGTCGAGAGGGTTCAGAATGTGAGCTGAGGGGAGAGGTGCGTTTACGAGGGCTGTCCAGAGTATCACAACCTCATGAGTGCAAGATTGAGACCCGCAGGAGAGGATAACGACAGCCAACGAGAGGAAGAAAAGGCAAAAATGAAAATAAAAATAAGATCAGGCGGCCCGACGTGATCTGCTAGATCGAGATCGAGATCGAGCAGCGCGAGCGAGCGAAAGAAGCAAGAGGCCGGGTAACAAACGAGAACGCCTGCATGTCAACCAGGCTGGGAGACAGAGGGAAGGCGAGTCTCCCAGAAGAGGCGCCTCGAGGCTACTTGCCGTGGGTATTTGAATGATTATAGATACCTCACCAATACGCCCGGCTCCGGACTAAATTGGTTGAACGCCTTGGAGGGAGTCCAAGTCCCGGCGCTAGGTCCACGCCCCAGTAGAACATAGGGAAGAGCACGCACAGCCAACTTGGGCATGACGATCGTAACAGGAGTGAGAGTTCTTTTTTTTTACAAGAGTACCTAGGTAGGTTAAGTAAGGCCCCGAGTAGCGCGAGGTCTAAGACGGCGAGGAAGAATATATGATAGTAGCGTTGGTTATTTCTGGATAGCACCGACACTCGGGTCCTCGGCGGGCTTGCCGATGCCCACATTCAGGGATGGATGTCGCACGAGAATTAAAAAAAGCAGAACAAAAAAAGGGACCGAGCTAGGCATCGGGGCGTTGGCGAGAGGGAAGGAGCCCGTCACGAAAACAAGTAAAGCCTCCATAGACGGCGAGGAGAAGGCACAACGCCGATTACAGGTAGGTCCATGAGCTTAGCAAAGAAATAGAAAAAGCCACCCGGGCCCAGTGTGACACCACCCTCCATGGATGGGACGGGCGGGAGAACTTGCGTTTGTCCGCCGCATCACTCTCCCGCCAAACCCTGGCATGGCGCCAGCCACGACATCAGGTCGGGCGACACTCGGACTCGGCGCCGCCAGTTCGAGAAAGCCCACCAAAAGGGTGTGGAGTGCCTCCCCAGCAGCTCACGATCATCAATGATGAGACGGAAAGGGTACGGTATAGGCGCGGTTCAATTGGCTTGGTTGCCGTCTCCTGGCCAGCCGTTCTGTATGGGACGCAGCAGCGTCACCGCTCTCCCCTCAGCCATCGCAGCCTCAGAGCAACCAAACATAGAAACACAGACGCACTCGCACCATCTCCAACCCCCTTGCACACAGGTCTAGAGGACGCATCATGGGCGCCGGCGGCTGGCACTCGCGGAGCTGCGCAAGGGGTCCGTGACCTCGCCGGCGCGAAGCGTGGCTAATAAGTCAAAACTAGTTCATCGCAAGGACCTGGGCCGTCGGCTTGGCCCACGGCCCGTGAACAAGCACAGGTCCGGGCGTCAAGTCCTCGACTGCCCCTTGAATCTATCTGCCCCAGCGACCCCCGCGTCCATTTTCGCTGCAGCCCATGCGCGGAACTGCAACAGTCGTGCAACAGTTCTGCAGTGAATACGAGAGACATGGCAGCCAATCGGGCGCCTGTCCTGTCAAATCCCCTTGCAACTCCCGGCCATCCTCATTTCCATGCGCCGTGCATTATTCGAAAGGATCACACCTCTACAAGTCAATCTAGAATATCTTGGTCAAGAATCTGACACGCGAGGCCAGCTGAGACCAAAGAGCGGCGAGTGGGCGCGGCAGCCGTCTGGCTGGCTACCAGCTTCTAGCCTGCGCTTGTGGTCGGTCAACCACGCCGCCGCTGCCATTGTCATTCGGCCCGCAGGAGGTCGTAGTGGCAGGCTGCGTGCCTCACTCGCCCTCTGCCTGCATCATGCCCTCATCCCATCAACAGCCATCAAAATCGCCCGCAATGAAGGCTCCGCTTCTTCGCAAAAGTCGTCGCCACCGAGCCGCCCCGGATCCGCAGCAGTGGGGGCGGAGGGAGTTATATCGTTCTGGTAGAGCGACGCACCATTCCCTCCTCTTGCCTTGACAAGAAAATTGCTCTGCGGGTCTGATCCGAATCCCAGCACCCGGAGTCTCGCCACCACACAAAACGATTGGAGGGTTACTCCCGTCTGGTATCGCGGCCGTGAGAGGATAGAGTTCGCTGAGATCATCGTGGAGACAATATCGAGAACTCCTCTGGGCAGCTATATAGCTGTTTTTGTCGCTTATCTGGACTCTAAGAGAGTCAAAGTGGTACTTGCTAGGTCCTGTTCAGGTCGGAGGCGAGATTGACGGGGTTGTTGTTAGTAATGTTCTTCCGCCGGGTTCTCGGCTATCGAATGAAGCAACGCCAAGGCACTACTTGGCGTTAATGTGTGGTGGGAAGTATTTGCGGCCGCGTGTTTCGCTCCCTTGAAGCCTCAAAGAGGTGATACGGTGAATAAACAACGCTTGTTGCATACTGCAAGGCCGTAGCCACAAGACTGGGAACCTCCCATCTACACCTGCGGGAATCATGTCAAGCCAGGTTGGCCCGGCGGTGCTGCGAGGGTTTCTGCCGTACCAATCGACGTCACTGAGCTGTAGCTTGCGACTGCGCTGCGCGTTTCGGTCTTTTCCCTGTCTCTCGCCACGGTTGTGATGGTAGGAAGAAGGCTTGTTCTCGTAGTGACCTGTGGAAAGTCTAGCTTCAGTATTGCCGCTCGCAATCGATAGAATATCGCAAAGAATAGCCTCACCGTCATCCGTCTCATTCTCTCCAAGGTCCAAATTCAGAACCAGGTTCTTGATGCGCTGCTGCTCTTCACGCTCGGCCTGCTGCTGGTTCTTCATGGCGATGGCGAAGTGGGAATCGGATGGCAGCTCAACAGTACGAGTCTGATGGGTGCGTTGCTACTTGTTAGAATGAGTTGTGACTCGGAGGAGGGCGAGGATATGGTACTGACCTGTTGGCGATTTCCTCTCTTGGTGAGCAGAGAGAAAGCCATGGTGCCAGGGCCGTTCGGCCCAGGGCCCTCCGAAGCCTCGCGCATCTTGGGCCGCACGGGCAGTGGCACATCGAACAGCGGCTTCCGATCGAATTTCCTCGAGTCTATGCTCTCGGCCATCATTTTGGCGTACTCGCGCTCGAACTCGGCCTCATCCTCAGGATTAATCTTTTCCTCCTGCCGGGTGACAACGATGGCCTCATCCTCGGATTCGCTCTCCGAGTCCGAATCGGAGCGCTCTGGGTTCTGGAAATGGAGATATTTTTGGTTAGCGTAGTTTGGGCGGCGGCTGGACACTGGCCAGCAGCTCCCTTTTTTTTCTCCTTCATTTTATGTATCTTACCTGTAAGTCGTCTTCATCGGGATCACCCTCGTCATCATCGACAGCGATGGGCAAATCGTCGCCCTCGCCCTCATCAGAAGACGCTCCACTAGATGCATCATCCTGATCGGCCGCCTTGTCGAGACCCGACGTCTTCTGGTCCTGAGTGATGGCCAGCTGGAAGGCCTTGGAGGCCTCTTCGAGGTTAGACGCCAGCTTCCAATGTGGCCTCGTGAGCGCGTAGATGTCCTGGATGATGAACTCGATGTCCATGGGCAGAGGGTCTTTTGTGAAGATGTAGTACTGTTTGTTTGGTCAGTAAAAACATCATGGCCTGCTTGTAGAAGACCCAATGTCGCCGTACTGACCTGGAAGAATGAGAGGAAGTAGTCTAGCTTCTTCCCCTGGGCACCCCTGTTGAAGAACATGCCACAAGTCTCGAGAATGGTGGCGATCAGGCGGATTCTGAAGAAATCGTCTGGGAGGTCGAACGGGTTCAAGCGTCCAGGGACGGGCGGACCACCGTGGCCGAATGTCAGGATCTTGTACATGGTGTCAAAGACGACGGGATGGTCGAATAGGCGGTAGTTGTAGAGCTCTCCCAGGTATTTGGCCTCGGCAATGCGGCGCTGGTTGTACCTGAACTCGTTCTGCTCGAGACCGAAGATGATGGACTCGATTATGTTGTCGATGGCGGTGACGGCAAAGTCAACATGATACTTGCAGATGGCGCCCAAGAGAATGGCAAGGAGATAGATATTGCCATACTTGACCCGTCCGGGCTTCGAGAAGACCTTCATGAGGATCGAGACGACCTCGGCTTCCTCCCAGTGCAGCCTCCGAATCTGCTTGAGGACCTTGCTATAGTTGCGCTTGGAGAGATCCACATAGACAAGCTTGCGGACAAAGAGCTCCATCGGCGTCCGTTCCTTCTGCTCGATGGAAGGGCGCTCCGGAGGGTTGACATAGTAGATTGCGTTCTCGATGAGCATCCGCTCCGCCTGGCCAATGTGCTGGACTGACTTCTTGCGCTGCAGTGTCTCGAGGAAGGACGACATCCTCGGCGAGGTCTCGGGGTTCCGCAGCAGGTAGCGGCCGCAGTTTTCGAGCAAGCTGCAGATGACTTCGATGTTCATCTTGGAGAAGTCATCCAGGCCAACCTTGAGGCAGTGGAACACGACATGCTCAGGAACAATGTTGAATCTAGTGAGCTCGGCCAGATAGCGGATGTTACTCAGCCGGACCTGGCTGAGGAAATCCTTGTCTTTGCGTCGCTGAAGGCTACGGAACTCGGTGTCGAGATACTCGACAACGCCCTTGGGGATGTCTGGCATGTGCTGTCCCAGAGTAGCCACCAGTCTGGCCCAGCATGGAAGAAGGTCGCTGCGGCCCTTGGGGACGTCGGTCAGCGCCTTGACGAGCCTGTTACGAGAGGCCTTGGAGTTGAGGAAGCAAAAGTCGATGGCGGTCTGGTCAACTCCTTCCTTGGTCGTCAGGTCCGGGAGACGAAGAAGAATGGCATCCACCTGAGCGCCCGTGGTCTTATTGGCAATCGCCGCAGACTGGTCATCCACCGGGTCCGCGGTGGGCTTGGGAGGTTCGGCAGGCTCTCCAGCATCAGCCCGTTTGCCGACCTGTTCCTCCGCGTCCGGCTTCTTCTTCTTCACGTCCTCAAGCAGGATGGCGGGAACTTTGCCTTTGAGGTCCACGAGATTCTCGTAGAAGCGGCGCTCCTCTTCGTCCTCCCATATTCCGGCACCTTCGCCCTGACCACGGAGATACTCACCTGTCTTGACGAGGCCGATGGAGCCGTTGGCGCTCGCCAAGGAATCGCCGGTCTCTTTCAAATCCGGCATTTCGGCCCCTATCACGTCGGCTAGGACCTGGGCATTTGCAGCAAGGCGCTCCTGGGCCTTGACCTGCTTATCAAAGTTTGCCTGCCGGTCCTCGAAGACCTCTCCGGACTTGACGTAGGCCTCGGCATTCCTGCGAGACTGGCTGAAGATGGCCCGCTGGTCGCGCTCGAGATGCGATTTTACATCCTCAAAGTAGCGCTTAAGCACGTTCTTGAAACGCTCCTGAAGCTCGGGCGGAGTTAGGGGCGGGTCGTCGTCCTGATCGGAGCCACCACCGGACAGCTTGGTGGCACCATCCTCCTCAACAGCCTTGCGGCCATCAGCGCTAGCGGCCTTGATACCCAAGATGTCCCAGCTGAAGGCCTTGACAAAAGCGACAAGAAGCGGCAAGTTGACATGCTCGCGATCATGGCCGAGGAGATCTTTGAGAACTTCGAGGGGAAACGGCTCGGGCGTGGCGGGTTTGGCGCCTCCAGGGGCGCCGCGGGACTTGGAATCCTGAGGCTTGCCAGCGGGGGTGGGCTTCGGGAGGCCGTCGTGAGGGTGAGCAGCGTCTTCAAGGGTACGTAGGACACCAACGAGCCAGAGTTCGGTGACGACACGGATAAGCACGCGCTGGCGCACCAGACGCTCCCGCTCGTCCTTCTCGCGGTTCTCGGCAGTCATGGTCTTGAGCTTGGTCTTGTCGGGCGGGGCCATGGCCTGGGCGAGGTGGGATGCGAGGGGCTGGGTGAACTCGTCGGGGCCGAAGCGTTGGTGGAGGGCGCTAACGATCTCGACGCCGGCCTCAATCTCGGCAGGAGTCTTGAGGCGGCACAGGCCGTCGTAGCATGCGGTAACCGTCTCGGAGAGCCATTTGTGCAGGCTGAGGGTACGGATCTCCTGCAAGAAGGTGGCGAGGCTGGTTGCAGATATGGCGGTACGGAGGCGTTTTTGGAAGGAGCTATTTTTGCGCATGTTCGAATCGAGCGAGGAACTGACAGCGATCAGGTCTAGAGGGAAGAGGGGCCAAGATCAGAGACTGCACAAAGACACAGGAAACAAGCGGCGGCCTCGGAGCGAAGCGAATCACGCGCAGATTGACCATGGCTAACCTTTTTCGCCAGCCCAGGCCCTGTCATTTAGGGAGCGCAGCTCGCCTTGAGTGGGATGTTAGCGACGGAGCACTGACGGCAGAGACGGCAGGCGGGGCATCGAGCTCCCAGCTGGGCTGAGAAACATACGCTTCCTGGCACGATCCATGATGAGGCGCAATCAAGCGAGCTGCTAGAAAACGCGTGGGTTTATCGGGGACTGGCGGTACGGCCTCATCGAGAAGGCGAGGCGAGGCTCTGGGAGAGCGGGCGAGCAAGGGGGCGCGGCTGCGAACAAAGATGGCCTGCAGGGGCAGGAGTCACCGGTGAGCTGGAGACGATGAGAGCGCAGCTTGCTAATGCACTCATTGTAGGGCTGAAGACTGGCGGCCGGAGGCTGGAGCGCACCTGTCGGGACGCGCGCGTTGCGATGGATGGGGATCGGGGCGAGTCTGCGCGACCAGGGCAGGGCGGATTGATCGGGAGGCTCTAGCGAGTGTCGTCGTCGGCGCGCGATTTGGCAGGTGGAGAGAACGATGGAGGCAGCACGGGGCGGCCACTGAATGACGGCAGGATCTGGAAATTTTGTGGATCGAAATTTTCACCACGACACGAAGAGCCAACACTAAACAGACACTCAATTGAAGCCGCAAACCTTGAGCACGGCAAGGTGAGGGTAAGCCCGCCAAGGTGAGCAAAGGCTACCGAGGCGCATCCAACGAAATTCTCGCTTTCGAGATACATTGCGTACGTAGTGCCTTTGCTCGGTGGCACAAACGCCTCCACTGCAAACTGGCACCTTCTCCGACCAATGTCGCCCAAGAACAGATAAAACCAGGCCTCGGGAATTCTACCGATGCTTTCTGTGGCGGCAAGGCACGTCGGCGTCTTCTAACCTGGCGGCGGTCCCGAAATAGACGCGGCAACACTTCTCGGAGCGGAACTCAAATACATCCGTTTGCTTGTATGCAAGTACCTGCCTGCCCGGGTACCTATGTAGGTACCTACCTATCCATGCATGTAGGCCGACCGAGCCCGGCGGCCTGGGGCGTGCCCACAAGGCCGTGACGAAAGGGATGTGGGGGTTGACAGTGTTTTCCCATCGAGCTCACGGGCCCTGCTTGCTTTTTCTTTCTTTAGCAGCCCTTCCTATTCTAGAACCCCCACCCACGGTCGGTTTCGACCGACGCTGAGAAGCGACAGAAAAGAAGTCGTGGGGAGTTGCGCAACAACCTGCGCTGCTGGCCGATCTATTCCAGAAACCCTACCATCGGCCCGGCAGAGCCCAATTTAGATAAATACAGGCAACTCGCCTCAGCTCGAGATATCATAGTCAACGAGTCGGACGGCGGCTTGTTCGTGTTCGCTGCCTCAGTTGGAGAAAGTGTGAATGTTTTCTACTTCCCACAGAGAGATGGAGCTTGGTGAACATGGAAGCACGTGGCTGCTGATCCGCCAAAAAGATACCTCCTCCAGGTTCCAGCTGGGATGGAGCTGAGCCGCTCGTGCATCTCCGGCCAGTGGTTCTCGAGAAAAGAAAAGCGGGAACGGCCTTATCAGCACCCACCCACCAGCACACGCCTGGGCGTGGCGTACACAGTAGATGGGAGAGCGACTCGATTCAAGTCGGTATTGGTTTGACGTACAAGAAAGCTACTCGCACACAAATCAAGCTGATAAGCACCTCTGGTGCAGATGTTCAGATGCGCCGCACATCGCATGCCGAAACAAGACAGACCCTCGTAAATCCGCGGAGCCTGCTATCGGGTATTCTACCGTCGGCCCCGGAGATGGCATAATCGCCGTCTACATACCGTCTGTGTGCTGGCCCGCTGACGTTGCCTCGTCCGCGTCCTCTCTGCCCGTCACAGCGGCCTGCTTCGTTGTCGCTCCTGCCGTAAAGGCGTGGCCACCGCGCCGCCGATCTCTCCAGGTTAGGAAGACGTTTCTGGTTAGATCGAACTTCCTGAGCGGCGGCTGTCGTGCTGTCCCCTTTTCTCCGGCTTCACCTTGCTCTCGCGTCTGCCTCCTCGCTGTCCAACTTTGGAGGGAGAAGAAACCAGCTCCAAGACGGCCGGCGAAGGGTGGAGCGCTTTTTTGTGTGTACAGGCCGATGATCGCTTTCACGATCCTTATCGTCCGTCGCCAAAGGCATCTCCGGCCCGCGACGGGCCCGCCCTGCCCTGCCCACCTCTGATGTGCCTGGCTGCATGATCAGGCCATAGCGAGGCTCCATCAGACCCCCCCTAGTCTCTCTCCCACGTCCCCATACCCCCAGCGTTATTGGCTAGATGTTCCCAGTCAACTGCCTTTTTCCAGATCTCCGGCTCCTAATATCGACTTGGAGACCACTCCCGCGGGCACAACTTGGCTTACGTCCGTCAAACGACTCGCTCTGAACGATACGGGAAGAGAGCCGGTGCTAGATAGATATACACGTCGTGACCTCCGCGGCCACTCGAGTTTGATTTTCTGGTTCCTCTAGACATATACCCCTGTTTCTAACGCGGCCCGGACATAATTCCCAACCACACCACCCCGGCGTCTGACAATATACAGAACTCACATACATTTATCATCCTTCTGCTCAAACATTCCACATATTTTGCATTGTCGAGCAAGTCATGTTTCTATAACAACCGTCATCGAATTGCAGTCTTCTTCCTCGATCCCTTAATCCTTTGGGCTTCATTCTTCTGTCACTGTGCCTGCGTCTCTCTATACTCCTCCCCCTGGCTGTAGTCACCGAGCCTCCCAAATTCCCGGCCGATATTTGCAAATCATGGCTTCCGCAGATACCCTGGCCATGGAGGTCATCGTGGGCATAGAGCCAACCTCTCTCAGGAGCTCCTCTCCCCCGGTCAAGAAGGTGGACGTCTTCCCACCAAGCCCTGCCAGGACACTAGCAGACTCGAGGCAATCAAGCTTCAGCCTCGATGCCGTACCATACGAGGCCATCAAGCCGCCAACCGACGACAATGCTCCTCGGCCATACCCTCTGCCACCAGCGTCGAGGCAGAACAAGGTTCTCGCTGAGGACCTCAAGACACCAGACAGCCACGTCGAGCGGGATCCCAGGCTAATCAGGCTTACGGGGGTCCATCCCTTCAACGTCGAAGCTCCCCTGAGTGATCTGTATAATGAGGGTTTTCTGACCACCAAGGACCTGCATTATGTCAGAAATCACGGCTCCGTGCCGCGCGTCGAGGACGCCGACATGTTGGGCTGGGAGTTTTCGGTTGAAGGCATGGTGGAGATGCCGATACGTCTGACACTACGGGACCTGCTCAGAGAGTACGAGCAGTTGACCTATCCGATCACCCTTGTTTGCGCGGGGAATCGGCGGAAGGAGCAGAATGTGGTCCGCAAAACCAAAGGTTTCTCGTGGGGTGCTGCTGGCCTCTCGACCTCTCTCTGGACCGGCGTGGCCCTGGGCGACCTCCTTTCCCGTGCCGTGCCACGTCGAGGCGCACGCTACGTCTACTTTGAGGGTGCCGACAAGCTGCCCAACGGCTACTACGGAACTTCAATCAAGCTGGGCTGGGCCATGGACCCCAACCGAGGCATTATGGTTGCCCACCGGATGAACGGGGAGGTCCTGCACCCAGACCACGGCAAGCCCCTGAGGATCGTCATTCCCGGCCAGATCGGCGGCCGCAGCGTCAAGTGGCTGAAGCGCATCGTCGTCTCCAGCGAGCCAAGCGACAACTGGTACCACATATACGACAATCGCGTCCTGCCCACCATGGTCTCGCCCGAGGCCAGCGCGAACCTGCCCGAGGTGTGGAAGGACGAACGCTACGCCATCTACGACCTCAACACCAACAGCGCCACCTGCTTCCCCGCCCACGACGAGACCGTCCCCGTGACCGAGAGCGGCGCCTATAAGCTCAGGGGCTACGCTTACGCGGGCGGCGGCAAGCGGGTGACGAGGATGGAGGTGACGCTGGACAAGGGCAAGACCTGGGCGCTGGCAGAGATAATATATCCCGAGGACGACTACCGGCTTGCGGCCGAGGGCGACACGCTGTATGGCGGCAAGGTTGACCTATCATGGCGTGACGCCTGCTTCTGTTGGTGCTTCTGGGAGCTGGATGTGCCACTGGCCGAGCTGGCCGCGGCAGAAGACGTCATGGTTCGTGCCATGGACGATGCCATGATGGTGCAGCCGCGCGACATGTACTGGAGCGTTCTGGGCATGATGAATAACCCCTGGTACCGCATCGTGGTCCACCGCGAGGCCGACGGCCACGCGCTCCGCTTCGAGCACCCGACCCAGCCGGCGCTGATCGCTGGCGGCTGGATGGAGCGCATCAAAAAGGCCGGCGGAAACCTCTCCAATGGGTTTTGGGGCGAGAAGACGACGAGTGACGATGACGGCCAGGCCGCCGCCACCGCAGAGGAGCCGGCCAAGGAGATTTGCATGGTTGACAAGTCTGCCGACCGCCAGATCACCATGGAGGAGCTGAAGAAACACGAGAGTGAGGACCAGCCGTGGTTCGTCGTCAACGGTCAGGTCTACGACGGGACCAAGTTCCTCGAGGGCCACCCGGGCGGAGCAGCATCCATCGTGGGCGCCGCTGGCCAGGACGTCAGCGAGGAATTCCTCACCATCCGTAAGTGGCCATGCTTGATGCGCCTGTCCTCATGCTTGGACGACAGCGGCAGCCGATGGTAGTGATAGCCATAGCTGACATGCACCCTTTCCATATCCTGCAGATTCAGAAAATGCCAAGGCGATGATGCCCGAATACCACATCGGCTCGCTGGACGAAGCTTCGAGGGCCGCCCTCGCAGACCCCGAGCCGGCATCCTCCGAGATCTCGGGCGAGAAGCGCCCCGTGTTCCTACAGTCCAAGGCGTGGTCCAAGGCGCTGCTGAGCGGCAAGCGCAAGATAAGCGAGGACACCATCGTGTTCAACTTCACCCTCGACCACCCGGACCAGGAGATCGGGCTCCCCGTCGGGCAGCACCTGATGATGCGGCTGCGGGACCCGGTGACGCGCGAGGCCATCATCCGGGCCTACACGCCCATCTCGGAGACGACGGACCGCGGCGTGCTGCACGTGCTCGTCAAGATCTACGCCCCCGGGGGCGCCGGGGGCCGGGCCGAGGGCGGCAAGATGACGACGGCGCTCAGCCACCTGCCCGTCGGCCACTGGGTCGACTTCAAGGGCCCCGTCGGCAAGTTCGAGTACCTCGGCGGCGGCCGCTTCACCCTTGGCGGGCGGGCACGCGCCGCTCGCCGCCGCTTCGTCATGATCTGCGGCGGCTCGGGCGTCACGCCCGTCTTCCAGGTCCTGCGCGCCGTCGCCCGCGAGCCCCCCGCCGACGACGGCCCCACCCGCTGCCTGCTCCTCGACGGCAACCGCGCCGAGGAGGACATCCTCTGCCGCGCCGAGCTCGACGCGCTCGCGTCCGGGAGCGGGGGTCGCTGCCAGATCGTCCACTCGCTCACGCGGCCGTCCGAGTCGTGGGCCGGCCGCAGGGGCCGCATGGACCGGGAGTTCTTCGAGCGCGAGGTCGGCCGCCGGCCCGCCGGCGACGACGACGACGACGGCGACGACGACTGCGGCGACGTGGTGCTCGTGTGCGGTCCCGAGGCCCTGGAGAGCAGCGTGCGCAAGATATTCACAAAGGACCTGGGGTGGAGGGACGAGGACCTGATCTTTTTCTAGATGCTCTGGAGGAGATGGTAGAAAAAAGATGGGTGAGGGCGGGGAGGATTGAGGGACGAGAAGCGCCAAGACGAGGGATTTCTGGCATTTACAATGGGCTTCAAGTTATGCCCTAGACCATGTTTGCTTTTTTTGTTTCTTCTTTTTGGGTACCATCGAGTATCTCGTTTCTGTCTCAAGGCTAGCTTCATCTTACGCATTTTTCGGGAACCGGGAAAAACGGAGTTTAGGCTGAGAATATAAAGAGCAAGAATTAAATCCCTTTGAGAGCTATGAACCTCCAATCGTTGACCCGCGGCTGTGACACGCAAAGCAATCAGGAGCATATGAGTTCACGGCAGCGGAGGGCCAGGCATAATAAATGCATGCAGGGAAGCACACATTGAAATGGCCAAGTAAATACATTAAACACAAAGCTACCCCAAAACTCCAAAGGAAACCATGCCACAGGTCAGTGGCCTTTGACCGGGTGAGGCGGGTTAGGGTAGTTGTAGGCGGCAACGGCGATGGCGATGTAGACAATCACACAAAGCGCGCCCTCGAGGTAGTTGGTTTTCCCATCCCGGAGAACTATATAGACCAAGCAAGTGGAGCGGTTAGAATCAGATCTCGAGAGTTGGCGACAACGGCCTTGCGGGGGGATGGGGAATGGAGAGCGCGTCCCGACTTACAGTTTCCGACGACGACGATGGCGATGAGCAGCATGGCAATGTCAAAGATCTGAAAGTCGAGCCCCATGGGCTTGTGGATGATCCAGCCGACGATGACGATGAGGGGGGCGTTGAACAGGGCCGTCTGGAGCGTGGCGCCTAGGACGTGGCTGAGGGCAAAGTTCATCTGGTCGTCCCAGGCCTCGTCCACGGCCGTCAGGTGCTCGGCCGCCTTCTCGACCAGGGGCACGAGGATGAGGCCCATAAAGGCGTCCGAGATGCCGCGCTCGATGACGATGTGCTCGATCTGCTTCACGAGCGTGATGGCGATGAGGGTGACGAGCGCGAGCGCGATGATGAGCGCGACGGCGCACTCCAGCACTGTCAGCTTGTTCTTCTTCAGGTCCCGCGGCCGGTCCACGTCGCGCTTCTCGTCCTCCTCAAAGATGGCGTCGTAGATGCCGTGGTGGGTTTTGGCCTGGAACCACACGAATACGAGGTAGGCCAGCACCAGCAGCATGGATGTGCCGCGGGACACGCTCAGCACGCGCCCGGCGAGCTCCTCGTCCGTGACCAGGCCCCCGCCGGCCAGCGACTTTTTGAAGATTGCGGGAATGGCCAGGCCGAGGCCGGCCGTGAGAAGCAGTCCAGCTCCCGCCTCGCTGATGGCCTCGTTGTGCTCCGTCTCTTCCCTCCTGAGGCCGCCAGCAATGAAGCAGAGGCCCAGGCAGAGCAGCATGGTTGCCAGGATGGACCCCAAGATGGCAGCCTGGATGACGGGGACGAGGTTCGACGGGTTGACGAGCAGCACGAGGAACAGAATGACCTCGACAATGCTACCAAAGCTGCATGGAGAAGAAACCACCCAAGTTAGCATCACAGCACAATTCGAAAGGGATGTCTCCGCATCAAGTGGGAATTACCCTGTTTCTATGAGAACACCGTAGACATCTGGTTGTTCTGATCAGCGCCGTGTTCATCTCTCGTCCTTCATGCTTCCATTCGGCCTCGAGCCACGAGAACAATGCATGGCCGCTGAGGCACGCAGGGTAGGTATGGTACTTACGAGCCACTTTGCGCGCGAGCTCTTGCCCCGCGAAGCCCACTAGATTGGCGCATGGCACCATGGAGATCTTCACCCAAGCACACGTTAGTCACCGCACTGGGCTCCGGGGTATGTGGGCCCGGGGCTGGTTCCTCTTACGTAGGACAGTATGAAGATGGTAAGGTGCCAGTCCGGGCGCGCATATGTGATGGTCAGGGCCGCAGGGACGACGGGCCACAGAATGTTGACGTAGCTGGACACGATGTTTGACGAGCGCCAGATGATCCGCAGGAACTGCATCAGGTGGAAACCGTTGCGGCCGCTCTCGCCCTCGGGACGGAGGAAGGGCGGCATGCTGCGCGTCCGCTTCAGCGCGAGGTTCTGCTGCTGCTGCTGCTGCTGCTGCTGCGGCGACGGCATCGGGTTCGTGGCCGTGGGGTGTAGATGCAACCGGTTGTTCTGCTCGTCGTGGTACGCCCTGAGCGGGTTGATGCTGCCCGTCGTCGTGGCCGCCGAGGTCCCGTTCGCAATGTCGACTTCGTCCCTGTGCGTCGGCAGCCTCGCCGTCAGGGTGATCTTGGGGGATTTTTCGTGGAGGGGTCTTCGATCTCGCGATGGCGTTCGGGTTGACAGGGCCGGTGATGCTGGTGGGACCGCCATCTTGGGCAGAGAAGAGATGTCCGGAGGAGCAAACGAGAGGAGAAGAAGAAGAAGAAAAAAAGCCCCCGAGATGTGAATAGGATGCGGCGGGCGCTGGTGTTATCGCCGGACAACGGCGGAACCGGGCGGTTGGCTGAGGATCCTCCCTGACACCTAGCTGGACATGTCCAGTTTCGTATTGGTTAGAACGGTTGTTTGGGCTAAGCCGTGTTGTCGCTCACTCAGCCCTGATGTGATGACCTGGCCCTGTGGCGTGCGCTAAGTCGCTGGCACCGATCGGTGACGGCGCAGGCGTGGAACAGGCTGGAATACAGCTAGACTCGCCCGAGTTTGGGAGGGCAAGGGAACAAAAAAAAAAAAAACGCGATGGAAGGCAGGCGATGCGCGCGCATGTAAATGGGCCCTGCCAAGGGGGCTTCGCCAAGGCCGTAAGCGGGACATTGTCGAGGCGAGGCTGTGCGTGCAGCGAAGCTTGTCCTGCATGCCGCTGGGGGGGCCAGGTTATGGAGGTGGGATGCAGCTGCCTGTTTGTTGTGACGGGGGTTGTTATCTGGCACAGCATCCAATGGGCCCCCCCTTGCTAGCTCGTCTCGCGCTCCCGCACTCCCACTGGCCGGATGCGGGCCGCGTTTTCCCTGTCTCAGTCTCAGGCCGAGGAGGGAATATGGAGGTGTGAGGGTTAAATAATCTACAGTGGGGAGGTCACTCGTGAAGCGAGGGCAGGGGCCAGGGGTATGCACTAGTC